TGATCTTCCCTTTTATAGGGAACTCTTTTCCTTCCTAGGCTCCTTGCCAGTACCCAGTGCTCTTTCAAACTTACTCCGCCTTTTCCTGTTCATCTCCCCACATTTTATCTGTTTACATACTGCCTCAACTGTAGCTCAGGTCTGGCTCCTCTCTTCAGTTCCTTTCTGGACCACAGCAGTAGCATGTTCCCCAAATCTTCATCACCTCTGTATTACCTCAGTTCTCAATCTCTCACAACTGCAGTCTATCATTACTAACAGCTTTCTATAAAGATACTATCCATCAGCGTCAGTGCTCTCCTAAGTTAGTCATTCTGTGTACTCAGGGTATTACCGTTCTCTAAACTACAAAGATCTCTGATTTTCTAGGTGAAATCTTAGGGTCCCTGGAGAGTCTTCTTTTTGTGGTCCTATAAGTACAGATTCATCTGGAGTCACTATTCAGTATTACCCATGAAAAGACAGCATATCTGGGAATTCAGGGACATCCAGTCCTGCCTTTTTCAGGGGAACCTTCCCTTGGGAAAATTTCTGATATATCCTTCAGTGTGGCCAGTGTCAGGTTGTTTTTCGTTCCACGAATCAATACCAAGAGTTATCACACTCAGTAAGGAAGTGATTTTGAAGGCTCTTTGCTGGCTTATTCTTTGTCTTGCTCAGGTAGCATTTTAAAAATAGAACTCAGGTCATTATGTTCAATGATTAGTGTATATTTCACCTGGGATGAATCATACATGAATAAAGCAACAGAAATGTAGAGATGTCTCAGTGATTATGAGCACTTGATGATTTTCCCAAACAATTGGGTTCAGGTGCTGGTATTCAAATCAGGAATTGACTAACTTTGAAGTAGTCAGCAAGTAGAAACTAATGCTTCTGGCCTTGGTTTTAGAATCTTTATACATCTTGAACATTTAACCTACAGTGGAATAGAGAAGGGCTGTGATCATCCTGTCTTCTCTTTCTTCCATAAAGCCACAAAAGCCCAGCATATATATATGTATCGGCAATGCTAAACTCTTTATTTTTTCATTCATTGTTGGAATCTAGTTGTTGTTTTACTAATGAGTAACAAATATATATGAACATGCACAAAACAGGCACACATTATCAGTCTCTGCTTCTTACAAGTTCTTAAAGTTTACCTGATAGAATTAGAATTCAGGAGTCATCACAAATGAACTACATGGGAATTTTAGGAGAGATAAATGTCATGTCTATTATATATGTTTGACATCACTAAGCTTGAATATCTGGTATATTTTAACTAGAGAAGCGTGGATTCATGGGCACCATCCTCACATTCATTTTCTTTGTCCATCTGCAAAGGACCACTGTGCCCAAAAAAATTGATTTTCAGTCATTTCCTATTCTGTATCATATTTCAATTACAAATATTAAAAAGACATAAGGACTTGCCCTGATTTACACTTACGTATGTGATCCTCTAGTAATCTCTATTATATTTTAGAACGCTATATATCATGAGACAGGAGACACTTTAAATGAGTTAATGAGACCTTTACTGAGAAAGGAATTGGTTATTATATGTGGATAATACTCAAGAGCATTTTCAAAAGAATGAGAAAAACAAATATTAAAACATGTGTATAGCTTTCTCTGCTCAGCCTACTTATTAAAGAGACATGAAACATGGTTGATAGTCTGGATAATCCCTTTGACATAAAGGACTAGTCTGAACTGGGCTTGAATATAGTGTGGTAGAGTTAGCTCTCTAATATAAAGGAACCTGTTGAAAGAAGACTATGGAGACAAGACCTAACCTGCTAAACCACAAGGTCAAACTCTAAGTAATTTGGAATTTAGACTAGTATTCTGTCATAGTATTACAAAATCATACAAAATCATCGCTGCAATAGGTTTCTCATAAGCCCAAATATGGTGTTGCTAAGAGCATCAGGGACAGATCAATGCTTCTTATAAAGGCCTTTTCTACTGCTCCTGAAAATCAAGGCAGTCAAAATGGCCTAGCTCCTTCTACTGCAATATTTCCCCCTGAACACACTGTAAGCATCCCAGTTTCCATGATCCTTGCTGGCCTATGCATTTCTCAACTATGATACTTGTGTAGAAATGGGATCTCTATCAGTTATTAGCTGAAGTATCATCTAAGTTGTCAACATGGTTTAAGTTTCATCAGTGGATAAGTGATTAATGACTAAGATGACCTTCCTGTCAGTTTGTGTGGGGGTTTTCTAGAGCTGATTGTATCGTGAGAATGTTGAGGCTATTCCGATCTAATTAAAGGATTAGCCTAAAACACGATGTCATTACAGAGTTGGAAAGAAAGGTTTGTAGAAGTTTCACTTAAAGCTCTTCCAGTCGCAGGCGCTTTGGGAGCCGCCGATTACTGTCCAGCCATGGCCAAGTCCAAGAACAACACCACACACAACCAGTCCCGGAAATGGCACAGAAACGGCATCAAGAAACCCCGGTCACAAAGATACGAATCTCTCAAGGGGGTTGACCCCAAGTTCCTGAGGAACATACGCTTTGCCAAGAAGCACAACAAGAAAGGCCTGAAGAAGATGCAGGCAAATAATGCAAAGGCCATGAGTGCAAGTGCAGAGGCCATCAAGGTCCTGGTGAAGCCCCAGGTGCCAAAGGGTCCCACCCTCAAACTCACCCGTCAGGCTTTAATTGCTCACCCCAAGCTTGGGGAGCAGATTAAAAGCTACATGGCCAGGGGTCATAGGCTCCAAAAAACAAAGCCCAAGGTTCAAGCCAAGGCAGAGGCCTCAGCTGCAGCTCAGGCTCCCAAAGGTGCCCAAGCTCCTGTGAAGGCCCCATAAAAAAGGTCGCAGTCTGCCAATGTGAAGACAGATGGACTGGTGTGAACACCTACACAGTATTTGCAGATGTTCAGGACCTTATGCTGTTTTTACAAATAAACGTGAGGCAAGTTCTGTTAAAAAAAAAAAAGTTTCACTTAAAGAATGACATAATGAGAGACCTTCCTTTCCGAGCATTTCTTTCTTTGGTCACTTATTCTATACCCTGTTCTTCTTTTTCTATCACCACATTTACTTCATGGTTCTCCATACCTTTTTTACAACAATGGACTAACACCTCTGAATTTCTGACCAATACATAAAACCATATTCTTAAAAGAGCTCCTTTGTTCAGGTATTTTGTGAGTATTCAGTAAACTATTAGAGAATCTTAGAGGATTTCATACCATTGTGGGTGTAAATCTCATTTCAATGACATGAAACACAATATTAGAGGAAAATTGTGATTAAATTTTGGGTTCTTTTTTAAATTTTTTATGGTTTATTTAACTTTATTTTATGTGCATTGGTGTGAAGGTGTCAGATCCCCTGGAACTGGATCTTCAGACAGCTGTGAGCTGCTATGTGGGTGCTGGGAATTGAACCCGGGTCCTCAGGAAGAACAGTCAGTCCCCTCAACCGCTGAGCCACCTCTCCAGTCCTAAATTTTGGGTTCTTAAGGCTCTAAAATCTTCATCTTTCTTCACCTTTGACTTCTCCACAGTTCTGACCCATTGAGTCTGAGATTTCATGTGGGAAAATGAGCTAAATACACGTCAATAAAAATTAAGAAACACTGGAGGTTTTCACAGTATAATGATATTCCTATTAACAGTAGCACACTGAAGGTGTTGACAATACAGATTATACTCTTTGTACTGAAACATTCTTCTATTGAGGCATCCAATGACTGCGTGTCAACACAGGGATGAATCTGGATAAAATTAAGGAAAAGATTCTTAGTCATGAATGGTATCCAAGGACTTCTTCATGAGTTCCCACACATCCACCGCTATAGCAGGGTTGCGTCATCCTGACCTAGGTGCTGCAGCTGAAATTTAATAATGCCCTAAAGCTGTGAGACATTGTGTGTGTTCAGTTCAGTGCTATATTGCTGAACAGAAAATTGTCTTTTTCCTCCATCCTCCTCAGAATTGCCTCCTTCTTGCAAGTATGAAGAAAGTTCTACATTATGATTCCTGTTTTATTTAGCAGCAACATATTACCCTTGTGAGACTTGTCCAGAATTAAACAAGATACAAGTGCTAGCGTTGATTGTGAATAATCATATTTTCTCTATAGGTTTTGACTTGAAGCGTCTTCCTCTTTGTTGTGATCCTAGACTCCCATGTTTACTTGACAAACTGTACAGTAAATAAGCAGGCTAATCTGAGATGATACGGATATGGCAAATATTCAAGAATTTTTTGTGCACTCACAAGGCTTATAAGAATGTTAGTTTATGAAAATTTATATGAAATCATGACCAGAAAAATGTTCAAGTTTCTGAAAACATGAAAGCTATGTGTGTGCATGTATGCATACTGAATTATGGAATTGTGTTTGTGTCTACTAGTGCCAACTTGGAAATTGTATATGTGATACATGAGTATTAAGGAAGTGACAATATTTATATGTTTGAGAAGACTTTGGTTATTTGTGAATACATATTTGGAGTATAGTTGGTACATTTAGCCCTTTGGCACAGCTATATGTGTACACATTATAATTTTTGATTGCTCCTTAGACTAAAATTATAATTAGGTACTCAGAGAACAACCCTGAATGGTTTGGGTTAATGCCTGCTGGACATGTACAGACAGCTTTAGAAAGTGTCCTTGATTGGAAAAGTTTTATACAATCCCAAGAAGAACTATCTAGATTACCCTGAAATGAAGGTAGACTTGCATAGTACCTGGTGCCAGGCTTTCCAAGACAGAAGGTCTCACAAGATGCAATGGCTCTTCAGAGTATTACATTTTCTCATTATGCTTCCTTTTCTGGCTATACTGCTTCAAATATTTCTGTACCTCATTCCCCAGATTCATTATTTTTGTCCCCAGTGCTGAGGTGGAGGTTGTGAGAGTATACTGAATCTATATCACTCTCCTGCCCACGGAAACCCATACATGAAGACCCAGATATTAATCCACAAACTTATGAAAACCTGATTTCTAAATTTATACAATTGAAGAAAGAAAACATCTCTAACAAATGGTGCTGGCATAACTGGATGTCAACCTGTAGAAGAATGAAAATAGATCTATATCTATCACCATGCCCACAGCTCAAGTCTAAATGGATTAAAGACCTCAATATAAATCTGACCACACGGGACTTTATAGAAGAGAAAGTGGGAAGTAGCTTGCAGCAAATGGGCACAGGAGACCACTTCCTATGTATAACCCAGTATCGCAGACAATAAGAGCAACAATGAATAAATGGAATGGAACCTCCTGAAACCGAGAAGCTTCTGTAAAGCAAAGGACACTGTCATTAAGACAAAAAGGCAACCTACTGAATGGGAGAAGATCTTCACCAACCCCACATCAAACAAAGGCCTGATCTCCAAAATATATAAAGAACTCAAGGACCTAAACATTAAAATTCTGAATAACGCAATTAAAAAATGGGGTACTGAACTGAACAGAAAATTCTCTTCAGAAGAACTTCAAATGGCCAAAAGATAATTAAGTTCATGTTCACCTTCCTTAGCAATCAGGGAAATGAAAATCAAAACAACTATGAGATAGTGTGATTTCTTGAAAAATTTTTTCACTTTTGGCTTATGTTTCCCATGGGTAATCCATTTTAGTCAGTATTATGGTAGTTTTGTACCCTTCAATACTATTTTCTCAAGAAATTTTCTTAGAAAGGGTTCTTGGATACTCATCTGCAGAAGGCATTTTTGTCAACAGAAATTTGAGGATCTTAGAAATGTTTAAAAACATGAATAATATCAGGAATAAGGTAAATTACATTTAAATCAATATTGAGATAAGAGCTTACCTCAATCATAATCATTAACCAAACTCTCTGTAAGAATGAGAAGAAAGAGGAACACTTATTTACTTATTTGTGAAAGTGTAGCTGGCTCAGTATAGATTTCTCAGAAATTTTAAAATATAGTTGCTACATGATCCAACTATTCCACCTGAGTTCATTTACCAAAGAAATCTATATCTGACCACAGAGGCTTATATTCATGATTACCGTTTGCTGTTCTAGTCATTAAGGCTAGGTAGATGGATCTTTTTGGACATCCAACCCTTGATAATTTGATGATATTGATGTTATTAATGTTTAAAGAAGCATGCAATTATACAACTTAAAATAAATGGCAAGAACTTCAGTGTAATATATTTGGTGAGGTACTCCCACCAGAGACCATAAAATGCTATATATTATCCCTTAGGTCATCTCTCTAAGTTTCGGTTTTTCAAATGTCATGTAAACATACATCATTGTTTTACTAAATGTAATAACGCTTGCTAATGTGGCACAAAAGAAAACAACCTGACACTGAAAATATTAAAAGTTATTTGAGAAATTTTGCCAAAGAGAAGTTCCCCAGACAAGGTCAGCTCTGAGTGTTTTTGCATCTCCTAAAATATAACTCTTCCATGGAGAATGCTGTACTGTAACCCTGGGTGAATCTGCACTTGCAGAACCACAAAGAGAAAGTTTTCATGGAACGTAAGGGTTTATCTTGGAGGATATATGCATTTGAAGACCAGGAACAGTAATACCTTGAGTACTCAGAATGACCAACCTAGGAGAGCCCAGAAACAGGTGAATTGGATTTGTGAAGAAAGCTAGTGATAAGAGCAGTCCTGGAGTTGTGAGAATGAGAATGAGAGGCAATACAGAGCTGATGAAGTGGGAGATGATACTACAGGTGTAGACCAGAAAGGGACTGAAGAGAAGCCAGATCTGAGATACAGTTGGGACAAAGTGAAGATAGAGGAACTGTAGAGGGGAGGAGAAGGCAATGGAAGGTCAATGTGAAAGAGCACGGGGCATTGGTAAATAACCCACCCAGACAGCGTTTTAAGGTTAAGAGAGCAATTTTTTTCCCAGAAGTACTCACTATATCATCCAGGCTAACATCAGATACAAACAAAGTCTTGGATCTATTTCCAAGTCTAGGAAAGCCATGACCTCTCTGCTTCACGCTCTACTACTTCCGCTGACCACTCTCATGGGGTCTCCGAATCTGAGCCCTATAATGGTCCACACCTTGCTGAGTAGGATAGATAATTTCCAATTGCTGGTGGGGGGGGCAGGAATCACAGGTTTATGCTATCACCAAGTACAATGAAAACAACTGTGATTTGCATCTGAGCTGTGTTGTAGAAATTACTAAGGGTCCAAAAGCAGAATTGTGACCCTTGAAGTAAAGACGCCTGAATTTGCCACTTAGAGGGTCATGCATGTCTCCTTAGTCTAGCATCGACTCCTCCCTGCTATTCCCCTACTAAACGTAGCTCCCCACGATTTCCAACGTCTGATCTTAACAGAACACAATGGTAGTATCCACAAGCCACTGCCTCCTATTAAGTCTTATCCTAAGATGTGCTGTTATCTGGAAGCTCTAGTGGGTGAGATTTTCCCAAATCAAATGCCCTCTATTAGAGTACTGTAACTGTTAGAGACATGCTGCAGACAGGGTAATGTGTGTTCCTTACTTAACTTCCCAGCCACATCCTGAAAGAGGCTACATATCAGGGTCCTCTGATAGGATGAACATCCTGTCGACACCTTTCTGAAACCTGGAGTCTGTGTCAGCTTATAATTTAGTAACCATAGAAAAAGGATAAATCATTATCACGCTCCCTTGTCTGCATGACTGTTTTTTATGTCTTTTGTTTAATTCTTATTCTGTTTATGGAAAACTGTTTGGAGAAGCCAAATCTGTAACCTAGATACTCCACGTCAATTCCTCTTGAGTCCTTTTTTATTACATTTTTCTTGTTTGGCTCCAGGTTTCCTTTTCTTTCAGAGCTGTGTATATAGAGGTG